GTACCAACCAAGGTATTTGGTACACTAACCAAGGTATTAAGTGCACCAACTAATTGGTTTACAAGTCTTGGTCCATCCTAATGATTTTTAACTAGAATTTGTTCAAGCCCAAATATAAATTTAAGCATCTAAGCCCTTATTCAAATATGTCTGCCCCTCTCACATAGGACATTACATTTCAACAATATTTTCAGCTATATATCTACTGGAATTACTTCCATACTTCAGCTTGAGACCAAGCTCCCTAAGTTTGTGACTGTACGCCTTCGCTTTAATTCAATTTCTGTAATTGTCCAAAAAGTATCTCTAAAATACAAGCAATTATTTTGCAGTTTTATATAAATCGAAGTAAATCAATGATCCAAAACACCGATATTGAGTATGTCATCCTTCAATTTTTTGAGTATGTCATCCTTCAATTTTTTGAGAACAAGGTACAATTGTAGGGCTAGGGGAATTGAATCCTCAATAATCAACACCTAAAAACGCTAAAGAAATGAACTTATCCAGCCCATACACTTATTCAACTGGTCTACTGGCCCAAATGCAGTTTGCCATCCATCATTCTGATTCATAAAAATAAAAAAGCAAACCGTGTACAATTCGTCTAAAAGAAAGCAGATCCAGGTGACCAGGTGAAGGGCTTTTGTAGCCGAAAGAGAAAAAAAAAAAAAAAAGTCTGAAAAGTGAAAGAAACTTGAGAAATTGTCCCCACTCAGAGTCACAAAGAACAGATTAATGCCTAGTGGCTTTAACATTGAGATGGGCTACCAAAACCATTGACCCTTCACAAACAAAGAATTACCATTTGTGTTTGGCTTGGTCCCCCTCAACCTTGATTTTGCATTTTTCAACACCATGATTATACCTCTTTTCCACCCTTTTCAAGCTCAATTACCAAAAATTTTTGCTGCCACTTGATGAATACTTACGACATATCAGAAGCTCAATTAATAAATCCATCCACTATCCCCTCTTTTTACTGATCAAACAGAAGGACCCATCCCAAAACTCAGAACATTGAAAAAGGGGGAAAATGAGACAAAATATTAATAGAAGGGAAAAAAATTAAAAAATGGAGAAAAAGAGAAAAAAAAGAGGGGAAAACAGATTAACAAAAAAAGACAAAGAGAGTGTTTTTGTTTAATTGATTTTATTAAATTTCTAGGTTTTTTTTTCAAAAGAGTTAGTTTTGGGTGATTGCAAATATAATTCTATAAATTTATTTTTAATTATTAAATAATATATATTAATTATTTTAATAACCATCAACTAACAGTACAATTATGCACTGTTCTTGATATTCAAATCAATAGGGTTTAAAAAAGGAGAATAAAGAAAAAGGAAAAAGTGGGTAAAAGGAAAGCAAAATTAATATGGGAAAACGAGATTTTATACTTTAAAAAAAGGGACTTTTGAGTTGAATTATTATTGCTTGATTGATGCTTTAAGTTTTGTCCTTAAACAAATGCAAATCTTCTTCTTGTGGGTATTTATTTAACGTTTCATTCTGATAGTCATGCACAGTGGAGAAACCACTTCGGACACATGTATTTGTGTCTTTTTCATTTGAATCTTATATGATTCAAAATTGTCTGACCTTTTGCATTTTGTTTAATATTATCATTGTTTTTGTAAAAAGCACTTTTGAAAAAGAAGAAATGGTGCTTTGGGGCTGTAAAGCACAACATGTTGAATAAGCAAAGTAATGCAGTCTCTGCAGATAATGCTGCTTAAAATGAGGTCAACAGAGAAATGTCAAAAATCCATAGGATGCTTTGCCCTTTCAAGACGGCAACGTTTCTTTGGTTAAAGTTGCTCCTTTTCTACTGTTTTCCTTTTCTTTTTTACTATATAATCTCTATATAAAATTTTACTTCTAGTTTAATAAAATAAGAAATTAGTAATTTCGGAAAAGAGAGTATCGTTACTGTTTATTTGGCTACATAACTATTTCTCAACAAATTATGCACATAACTTTTTATAATAATATTATAATATATAAATTACAACTATAAATTTTTTGTTTTAATATATAGTTTTTTAAGTAACAAATGGAGTATTAAAAATGACCACTCTTTACCTTAATTTAATTTCAAACATTGATTGATACACTATTGATTTGACACATTATTCAATACATTTATTCAAAAGTTATTATTTTTAATTTAAAATTAAAAATAAACAAATTTATATATAAGAATCATTGAATCAATTAAACTTATATTATATTTTAATAGTGACAAATATTAAAAGATACGTCAAATCAAAATGTGTATAGCTAATTTTCCTTTAATTTTTTCTATTATTATAACTAGAGATTAGTGAAGTTATGTTATCCTTATGACACAACATACATTCTCCTTTCTAATTAGGTTAAATGTTAATTTTAGTCCTTACACTTAAAACTTTGAACTTTTTTTTTTTTGGATATAGGTTGTAGAATAAAAAACAAAATTCTCTTATCCCTTATTCCACCCCACCCACATGTCATATGATTTGAATTTAAAAAATTTTATTTCTAAGCTAATTTAAGCAATTCTTTTGTGCCCCTTAACTTTTAGATATGCACAAAAAGTATTATTTCCCAAATATAATTCAAATTTAGGAATTTTTTAATTTCTAAGCTAATTTAAGCAATTTTTTTTTGCCCCTTAACTCTTAGATATGCACAAAAAGTATTATTTCCCAAACAAATTTAAGCATTTTTTATCCCTTAATATAAATCTTTATGAATAATTCAAATACCATTTTTAGTATATCTAACGATGAATTACATAAAAAAAAAAGTCATTTCCTTTTCCAAAATTCCTTTTTTTTATTAGAAGACTTATATTTTTAAATAGTTGAACTACTTCTTTAAAAGTATCAAATACCAAATTAATAAAAAAAATTTAAAGTTTAAAAACTAAAAATTAACATTTAACTTTAATGTTAACCGTCCCTTCTTTTCAATAGGCTAAAACTAATTTTAGTCCCTCACCTTACCAAATTGGTAGGTTTTAGCCTCTAACTTATAATATGATACTTTTAGCCCTTTACCTTATAAAATTGGTAAATTTGAGCTCCTTACCTTATAAAATTGACAGGTTTTAGCCCCTCATCTTATATTATGACACTTTTAACCCTTTATTTGTATGAATTGAAGAAAATAACCCTTACTTTATATCAAGTTATAATATTTTGTTAGTTTTGTTAACTAACTGTCGAGATCTGTTAGCTGACAATTTTATTTTTTATTTTTTCTTTTTCAATAAGAAAAGGGCAACTGCCCGTAAATGAAAAGAAACAAAAGACAGAAAAAAAAAAAAAATCTAATTCTCCGTCCATGGAATCGTTTTCTCTTCATTATTACAAATTTAATAATAGCAACTAGGAAATTTTTTTGTTTTTTCTTTCTTTCTTTCTTTTAATCACAATATTTTAACAGAAATGTGTTGTTATCTATTGGCATTATTGTTTAATTTTTATTAATAAACGGAAATATTTAACAGCTATATATATTCTCCGATGTCTTCCTTCCTTTCTGTCACCAAAGTTATTTTTATTGATTTTAACTCCATCCTTTTGGATTATTAAAAAAAAAAAAAAAGAAGAAAAACCTCCATCTTTTTGGCCTTTTCTGATTCCCGAATTCCTCTAATTATCCCGCCAGTACATCATCCACATGGAGAGATGAATACTAGTACTAGATCTAACGGTCTCTCCCAATCTTTATAATTTGACTGATTTATTAGTACATATTTAATAGGAAAATGATTGCCTAGTTTCTAGAACTTTGTTATGTAAAAAGCTAAATTAGTTAAATGATGTTTCTTAAAAATATATTGAGCTTCTCATAAAGAAAATTTTAAGATTTTTTTAAAAGTTAATTAATTTTCATTTTTTTTTATGGAGAAAACTCAATAGTTATTAATTGATAATCTCTCCTCGAGAGAGGGAGTACATTCTAATTCATAAACCAAGAATTGTAGGACACTCAAAATGAGCAATGTTATGGAATAAATCAGGCATTAAGCTATAATAAGTAGGATCATCAGGTCCATTCAAAAAGATCAACTGATCAGGATTATCATCTCTCTCCACAAGCGAAGTACCATATTTGTGAGCAAAAGAAGTCTTTCAATATAACCCTAGCTAGCCTTTCCTTACGTGCCCTAAATGCCTGAGTATTAGTATCAAAATACCAATCCTAAACCATATCATAACCAACCCAAGAAAATTTTTATTGAAACAAAAACCTAAAGGACCCAAACATGAGAGAGTTATTAGATCAATGCCACGGCTGGACAGATCTCTTAGCCGAGAATGGTAGGACTTAGGAATAAATCACACAATTTCTGACCAACTTAGAAATAAAAGACTACAACTAAAATTGAAACAACTTAAACCTAGGGACCAAATTGCAAAGACATTAAAAAATAAAAGAGGGACCAAATTGTAGACCCTAGAGGAGTTGAATTATAACACATTAATATTTTTAGTGAAATGCTATGGGAAAAAAAATGATATTAATCTCAAATGCAACGTCAATCTTGTGTGCTTCTCTCCTAACCTTGATGAAAATTTTTGTTTACATGATTATTACCTCTTAAAAATTATAAAGCATTCCCCAAATCACCATTTTTCCAAGGAAAACAAACATAAAATAAAATTCAAAATTTCTGTTCCCTTGTAAACAAGTAAAATTTGTGAAATAGCAAAACATAAAGAACAGCAAGAAGCAACTAGCAAGTAAAGCCAAAAAATTGACAGGAGAAAAGGAGAGAGACACTTTCATTGACACTACCGTCCTGGTCAGGGTGATAGAGAATGATAAGGAAAAAGACACCACAACCTGCCAAATCCTCAGACACCCTTTCTTTTCATACCCAACCCTTTCTTTTTCTCTCACTTAACCTAACAAATCACTAGTTCCCCAACCCCATGGACCCATCTCCTTCCCCCCACCCAAAAAAACAAACCTTTATAAAAAATTAAGAAAAAAAAATTGTGCATACTTGCATTGCCTCCTAATATAACTAATGAATCATTGCCTTGTTTCGTGAACTGGGAGCGTCCTTTGCAGGCATTTTCCTCTCCTTCCCCTTTTTCACGTGGATCGTCGTAACCATAATCTGTCATCTCTCATTTTCTTAGAAAGAGAAATCAACATCCAAATTTCATTAACTTTTTTCGTCCTAACTTTTCTTCTTGACTATCCTTGAATATTTACCTCCTGTTCTCTGTTATACAAAAAAAAACCCCATTTCCCAAAGGAGTGATTTTCCAGACTTTCCCCATCCTTTTTCTGGGAAACAAACAACCCCTAATAGCTGAAAAAGGGGAAAAAGATGATTCCTTTCTCCTTCATTTTCACGGTTATGGTTTTCTTATGTTCAGTTTCGGCCTTTCCTCGTGTCCTCGCCGGTTTATTGACTCAACCAGTGACCGGTCACGACCAGCCACTGAAACCCGGTGAATACTCTTCTCCAAACACGGTCCCGGCGTTTCCAGTGCAGACGGAGGGTGAAGGGTGCAGACTTGACCTGTCCGACGAGCTGTTTGGCGGTGTCAACGACGCATGCGGTCACAACCTCGACAGGAGCCGATGTTGTCCCGTTCTAGCCGCGTGGTTGTATGCTGCTCACTCGAAATCGGCTCTTGAGTTACCGGCTCCTGCTCCGGCACCGGTCGACTCGATTCAGCCGGACCAGCCCATGATGCCTGACGACTCGCAGAAGTGTGTGAACTCGCTACAGAGCGCGTTGCTAAACAAGAGCGTGAAGTTGTCGCAGCCAAACGCGAGCTGTGACGCGATTCTCTGTTTTTGCGGGATTCGGTTGCACCAGATCAGCTCGTTGAGCTGCCCAGCGGCGTTCAACGTCTCGGCAGGGTTCCGAAACGCCACCCCCACCGCTGCGGTCAAGAATTTGGAGAAGAATTGCAGGAACTCTTCTTACGCTGGATGTACCAAGTGCCTCGGTGCACTCCAAAAGGTAATTATTAATCAATTAATGAAAATCATTTATATTCCTTTGTTGGGCACTTTTAGTTTTCATTGCGCTTTTCATCTTCTGGTTTCCTTAATGAATCAATTTAGAGAAGTGTGTGGTGTTAAAACTTGTTTGTTTCCTGAGAAAATAAATTTTTGGTCGTGAGTATTATTGCAATTAAAAACTTAGAACTTTAAATTAGCCTTTTTGGTATTGTAAATTACAATGGCAGTAGCCTGAGCAGGAAAGCAGGGAAAGGGTTTTCCATTTTTTCCCATTTCATGGCAGAAACCAAAGTAATTCTGGTAGACCTGAAGAAAGGGATTTTTCCTTTAATCCCTTTTAAAATTCCAAAACCCAACATTGAAATGTCTAAGGTGCTCTTCTTCAGCTCAAGGGAGGATACAAGAACGGAACGGCCGACTGGAGCACTACCGAGAGAGCGAACAAGATGTTCAACCTGGACTGTCAGCTCATGGGGCTGACATGGCTTCTGGCTCGGAACAAAACGGAGTACATACCCACCGTGTCGGCGGTGCTGCGCGCCATCATGTACAGTGCACACCCTCCGCACGAGTCCAAGTGCAGCCCAGATCAGGAGAACATGCCGTTGGCCGTTGATTCGCTGCAGTTCGAGGAGGCACAGTCGTCGGCTCCAAGGTCAACATCGGGGGTTCATTGTGGGTTTACGTTTCTACCCTTAATCATGCTGGTTTTCCTGTTTGGGTAGGGGCGCAGCGGTGGGTAACACCAATCTTTTGCGACTTTGCCTCTCTAATTTTTGGAGTCCTCTGTCTGTCGGGAAGTTCACGTGAAGCTCTTAGAGCTAGTAGACAAAATCGGTTCTTCTGGCAGGATTGTTTTTGTCCTCTCGCAACACAATGTAAATTGTAGTTTTTCTCTGGTTGTACAACTACAGCAATTGAGGCATTTCTCTCCCAACCCAACCCTTCACCTTTTGAATCCTTGACCTATTTGGCTTGGATGCCTACAACTTAAATTTAACATCTCTTGCCAAGTAGATTAGCACTGGGTTGCACAATTATAGGATTGTTTTGAGATATATTTGTTTCACATTTCAGTACAGGAAGCAAGAACAACCTTTAGGGTCTGTTCGGTATGTTAGCAAAGCTAGAAAGTTGTTTTTAAATTTTATTGTTAGGTGTTTTAGTTAACTAAATCTCTTTTTTGGAAAATTTATTTTTGGGATTTAAGTTTAAACTAATCCCAATTAAAAATAAAAAGAGATTTAGTCGACTAAACACCTAATAATAAAATTTAAAGACAAGATGCAAAAATCCAAGAAATAGGACTTCTTAGGCAAGGTTATACCAAACACACCCTTGTAGAGGAGAAATTCATTCGGTTAAGATACCTTAGAACTAGTATCCATTCAATTAGAAAAATGACATCTATAAATCCTTGCATCTTATGTTGAGATATTATCTATGCCATGATAATGCCTCAACATGATAGCTTAATTTGAGATGCAAAGGTTTTTGAAATCTCAAGAAAGGTCTATGAGATTTCAAGTAAAATTTATATGGTGACATTTTTTTTATTAGTAAGGATATATATTAGAGATGTGGACTTTAGATATGAGATAAGCCACATTCTAATGATACAAATATTTTTCTTTATAAATAGGTATTTTAACTTTATGGCCAAATGTTCTGCTTTAATTTTTAGGTTACTTGATACATTTCACGGGTTAGATATAAAAATTAAAATTCAATTGATATTTTTTTTGCTAAGTTTTCTTCTGGCCCAAGAAGAAAGAGTAAGATTCATGAATTTACTGTTGAAATGGGGTCATGTTATGGCCCCATAAAAAATTGTTATAAACAGAAAATATTATAAATATATTTAATTTATTTAATTATATCAATTCATAATTATTAAGATATTTCGAAACATTAGTTAATAAGTTAATTTTAAATTTATTTTATTTTAAACATTTTAGTCATTGGACCGGCTCGAATCGTTGCTTTTAAAGAGAAGGATATGAATCTTACAAGAGTGGTTAAAGTCCCTTGACCGACAAAGTCAAGTTCAAATTTATTGAATAATATGTATATATTATTTTATATATTATTAATTAATAATTATAACTATTAATTACTTTTACCACTCAAATTAAATACATTAACATTATTTCTGTGATACTATAATAATTTTTTGTGTGGCCGCCTTGAAATCTGTTGTATTGCTACCTCGATTGCAAACTTTTGGCTTTGTTTCGGAAAACGAGAACTTTGCAAAATGATACCTTTTGGGACTCTTACAACAAGGAGAGTTTGTATGGAGATTTGCTTCAAACAAGTTGAAATACAATTAACAACATAGCCAAGCGAATCCCCATGACTGAGTATGTTGGTCGCGTTGTATTTTATCAAGACTACAAAATAGCGAATATGGATAAGTTTATTTCAGTAAGGACAATATGGGGTTAAGATTTGGATTATTTTATTACATTTTTAGTTAAAATATTGAGGTTCAACTTGATAATGGAAGAAATTTGGGTTTGAATGTTTGTCCTAACTTTAGCTCCCGATCAAACGGGTGGCCCAACTTTGAAAATCATACTTGAATACGATAAGAAATAAATAAATTTTATAAAAAAAAAAATAATAATAAATAAATTAAAAATATTGGGCCTACTGGCCTAATTCCATCAGCAACCCATTAGTGGTATCATATTGCAAAATTTCAATGGAACAAGGCAGGAAAAATGAGGATTGAAGGTGTGATCATGAAGTAAGTAAAAGACGTCGTTAAATAGTCAGAAAAGCATAAGGAGGAAAAAAAAAGAGTTCAAACAGTTGGAACAGTGTGGTTTCTCTCCTTCTGTCACAGCTATTAAATTCCAAGTTTGTTGTTCACTTCCCAGCCTTGACAAGATGAGGAAATCAGAGATTTCTCTTCAAATTCCTCCCAAATTCAGTTTCAATCAGAGATCTACATTTTCACTATAGTTCTCATTACTTTTACATTTTTACTTTAATAAAAGTGGCTTTTTTTTCGTGTTTTTTCTATCACCTCATCATATAATTGATGTTTTTATAAGCTCTCATGTTTCTTTTAGCGGTCAATTTCAAATATAAAAGAACCCACACAATTGGCTAATGAGGTATCAAATCAATGCTCCAAATGAACAAGCAACATTAACTTTGTGTGAAGTTGATTCAATAGTCCGTAGAAAAAACTATTTGATTCCATGTCAACTGTGAAAAACCCAAATAATTATCATGCATTTTTAACCAGGGTATTCGCCAACATTGTCACATGCATCCATCGCTTAACCATGTATGAGCGTTACCATAGGAGTGAAAAATCTTGGTTCTTAGAGTCGCCATCGAATCCATAGTTCTTTTTATACGATATTGCTTCAACTTCATAAAAAGAGTTAAAGATGCTTGTTCTTTTGAATTGTTGGATTTGATTCGTCAAATAGCTTTGTTTTATGACTTTTTTTTTTTGTTTTTGTAATTCACTACTCCAAGAAGCATGATAGCTTATCATAAGATTCATCACATGGTGAAGGTGATAGCAAATGATGAAGAAAGTCACATTTTAATAAAGCAAAAGTAATGAAAAGTATGGGGTGAATGTAGAAAATGAAACAAATTAACTGGGCCAAAATTTGTCATTAACTTAACAGCTTAAGGTTTAAGTGATGTAAGTTGAATCCTGCCACTAACTTAACAATTTTTAAGACCAAAGTCTACACTCTTAAAATTTCAAATTCAAGTTATTAATAATGGTTGGTCATAAGAATTATATACTAAGCACACTCACACTTCCATTTTGATATGGAAATGGGGCAATCACAATAAATCTTGTAGGAAGTTTTTCATTTTTTGAGCATGTAGGAAAGGTTGATGCATTAGCTAACTGCAAGGTTAGTACGGATCAGACAGACAAAATCAGTGATTAGTAATCAAGTTGGTTGGATCGGATATAAAAACTTATGTTTTAGATTTAGTGTGGATAAAACTGTTTAATGGGTTAGATAAAAGTTGAAATTCAAATGATATTTTTTGCTTTAGTGATATAGGGGTAAACTACGTTGGGTAAAGCTTCCCATTTGCGCCCCTTTTATGTATAAAAAGCTTAGTTTCTGGCTCAAGAAGAAAGACTAATGACTTCAATGCCTCCATGGCTAACTCTTAGCTAGTTTGTCTGGAGATTTGTTTCAAAAAGGAATCAACTTGAAATACAATTAACAACTTAGCCAAGCGAATCCCAATGGCTAAGTATTTTGGTCGCATTGTATTTCATGAAGACTATAAATAGACGAGATGGATAAGTTTATTCAGTAAGGACAATATGAGGTTAAGATTGATTAGGATTATTTTATTGCATTTTATGTTTAGATAATTTTAACATGTTAATGGAAGGATATTGGGTTTGAGTGTTTGTCTTACTTAGCTCCCTTTCAAAGGTGACCCAACTTTGGAAAGCATGCATGATAACATGAAATAATTATAATTAAATTAAAGATTTTAGGTTTTCTTTTCTGACTTGTTATTGGACCAGAAACAGCCCATTTAGTGGTTTGATATATATGGTCAACAATGAGTAGCGGGTTGAAATTCATATTTTCCATTTTACTTACCTTTTTTTTTTTTTTTTTTTTTTGAACATGGGAAATTTTGGAGGAAGGGGGTTAGTTTACTAGTAATTGCTGGAAGTAGAACTCTCAATCAGTTGAAGCCAAACTCTTAAGTTTGGTGGTGAACAATTTGGCCCATTAGGCTGGTTCTCCATTTTACTTTATTTGGTTTGGTATTTTTGTTGTTCTTATTATTATTATTTTTTTTGGTAAGGATAGGTTTTATCTTCCTCCATCATGTATTATCTTGATTAATTTAATAATATATTATCAAAAAAAAGAAGTGTTTTACAATTTACATTGTATTAAACTATACAATTTAACTATTAGATGGAGGAGTAGGCCACTAATATTGGAGGGAAACCCTCATTCAATGGTTTTTGTTTTACAATTTGATGAAGGAACTCATATATTATATTATTCTAATACAAAAAAACTATGATCTAATGTTTCACTCAATATTTTTATTTTAGTCAACATTTCCACACATTATAATAGGTGACACACTCCATGTTCCACAACCATTCAAAATCACTAATCTATTAATTACAAATGTGGTCCTTTCTGTACAAACAAAAAAGCTAGAACCAAAGCTCACCATCCCTTGCCAATAAGTCATAACTAGTCAAGCATAACACCTACAAAGATAGAAGAAACAATACCAACAAATTTCCAAAGGCATTTTGCTCTTGGCCTTAGATAAAGCAGAGTTTATTAACTTTTCATCAACCACTTACAATGTATAAAACTAATGTATAAAACAAACCTTGTAGCCTTTTGGAGTAGAAGTAAACACAAAAACAAGAGATAATGAAGTAATCATTAGTTAAACCTGTTAAGGGATGAATTTGTATTGCTTTAGAATTCATAATATGCGTAATGCCATGTTAGCAAGACCAGCTTTGGACTTGTGACTATGAAGTGCCCACATGATTTATTTCCACCTCAAATATGTTATATTTTATTTTCCACTGATGGTTGTAATGGAGTCGACATCGCTAGAAGTGGCATTTACCCATTTCACTAGGAACATTACAGACATGATCTACTTCAACATTATTTTCATACATGGCCAAACATAGTTGCATCTATCTCTACAACATGGTTGGACATCTATGACGATATGACTTCTATTGCAACATTTATAGCTACATTTTATTAGCTCCCAATAATGGAAAAAGAGTTTATCTTGATACTTTTACTTGGCTCCCATTAAAGGACAACGGGTTCATTCTATTACATTTACATAGCTTTCAGTGATGGATAAAGAGCTAGATTTGTTATTTTACTTAACCTTCAAAAACGTGTAAAAGGCTACACATCTTTACCTATTTTTACTACATTGGTTCTTGAAAACGAAAAAAGAGTCAGCTTTCTCTCTACATATTTTATTTTATTGGCTCTTAAAAATAGACAAAGAGTCAATATAAATCAGTACAATTACCATAAGGTTGGTAACAGTTGCATTTTTGTGATTGATTGGGATGGCTATCCTCTAGTTA